TTATATTTAATAAAAAAATTTGATTAAAAATATATATATTTTTTTAATAAAAAGTAAAATCTAAAATATTTATAAACTCTAAAGAATTTTTAATTATATATTTATTAAAAGTAATTAATATTAAATATAAATTAAAATTTGAGAACATTATTAACATAATATTAAAAAGAAAAAAGAAAAAATACAAAATAAATATAAAAATATATATATATAGTATAAAAAATAATAATAAATTAAAATTTAAATATAAATATAAAAAAAATATATTAATTAATAATAAAAAATATTAAATATAATTATAATATTTAAAATATGTAAAAATAGAAATATAAATAATATATTAGAAAATTAATATTTAAAAATAAAATTAAATGAATGAGTAAAATTAAAAAAATATTAAATATTTTTAGTAGTTATCAAATTAATATATAAATATATATATATAAAAAAATACATATTAATAAAATATATATATGATTATCTATTTATATATATATTTTAAATTTATATATATTTTATTATTTTATTTTTATATTTATATTTTTTTATATATACATATATATTTTATTATTTTTTTATTAATAAATTATTATAATGAAAAAATATTATTTTACGAAATATTAATTTTTATATATAAAAATATTTTAAAATATATTTTTTTTTTTTATAATTTATAAAAATAATTATTTTATATTATTTTATTGTAATAATGTATATTTTTTTATTTTTTATATTATAAACTTAATAATTTAATTTGATATTTTTTTTTAATAATTAAATACTAACTTATATTTTTTATTATTTAATTATAAAATATTTTTTATTTTAACATTTGATTTTATAATATTCTACTCAAATAGGTTTATCACTAGAACAATCTACTCCATAGAATCCTTTAAGACAAATACATTTATTATTTAAGCATATTCCATTAGCACTACAGAAATTCTGACATATTTTTTTAAACCCACAAAATTCTTGTATATTTTCTGGGCATTAAATATATCCAAGATAATTATATAATGTTTTTTATTCTAAATTTTTTGTACAAATTATTTAAAATTAATCTACTTTTATAGTTAATTATTATCCATTAGGATTACATTCATATTAATAGCAATTTCCCTAGACTTTTTAAGGTTTTTTATATTTTTTAACAATTAAAGTTCCGTTAAAACATTTCGAATCAGTACCAAATTTAGTTCCATTTTATTTTCTATAAGTATCTGTGTTAAATTCACTATTAACATCCCAACATTTTCCATTTCTGTAGGCAAATAAATTATTGCAATCAGAATCATTATATGAATCAATTCTACAATTAGAAAATCCGTGGTGGTAAAAATCACATAAACCAACGTCAGTTTTAGGATTACAATATTCTCTAAAAGCAGTATCACATTTACGCATGACGTATTCACAGCCTTTTCCTTTTCCATAAAACATTTATTCTTCCATAGAGGCGTTAATTTCTGCATAGTAACCTGTGTCTCTTAGAAGATTCGTTGTAAAACCACTAAAATGGGCCTAAGTAATTGATGTAGATGTACTCATGTATTCGTTTTGAATGATTGTGTTTGGCCAATGAGAAATTTGAGAACCTTTGCCTCCTAAATGTTAAAGAGGCATACCTTCTAAGAGAGGACAATTAAAATAATCTCGAGCAAACCTTAAAACGTTAGGAGTTTTGAGCAATACAGTATCAACTCCCTTTATTTTTGTTGTAACAAAAGCATGAGTAGTTTCCTTAGGAAGTATCCATTTAGGTATATCTTTTTCGCTAAAACCTAATATATGAGTAATTTCATGGATAACTGCTTCCATTAAATCTTCAAATTCAATTAAAGCATTTTCTTTGAATTATGGCATTTTTTCTAAATTAAAGATAATTGAACCATGAGTAGGTCCTATACCTGTTACATGTTAACACTATAATGCAAAGGCCAAATAATCTATATCTTTTTCCATTTTATATGATACATATAAATGTAAATCAGAATTTTTTCCTTTAGTTTTATCTTTTGGAGGAATGGTAACTATTCCACATTTATCATTTTTAATTTTCATATTAGATTCAGATCTAGGGATTATTTTTATTAAATGAGTAAAATATTATATTGCCAATTTTATGGCTTTCTCGCATAAATCAGTAAGTTTTTTATAGGATTAATTTAATTATTAAAAAGAAGACATGTCGTAAGATATTAACATATTACGTGGGGATTTTTTATTTAAATTACGGGCATCTTAAGATTCAAAATCAGGTGTAATTTATTCTATTTAATATAATTTTTACATTTAATCATGGACACATTAGTGGTTGAGTACTTTTAAACCAAAAATAAATGATATTAATAATAAGATTATTATGTGTTTTTTCATTTATTTTATTATATTATTATAAATTATTTGTTAATATTTTATTTTAATATAGTTTTTTAATTAATAGCAAAATTAAGTATTCATTGATAAAAATGAGTTTATTTTAATAAAAATATATTATTTTTATATATATGTATGAATTATATAATGAATAAGAATATGGAAAAAAATAGACTTATAAAAATACTATTTATGTAAATTAAGATAAAACTAAATAAATATAAAAATTAATAAAAATAAAACATTAGTAAAAATTTAAAGAGAATAAATATAAAAATAAATTAACTATCAAATAAAAAAAAAATTAAAAAAAAAATTATATAAAACAAATATAATTATAAATATATAAAAAATAAATATATATATTTAAATATAATTTTACATATATTTATAAATATATTTTTATTATTTTTTTGTTTTCATTAATTTTATAAGATACATAACTTTACATATATTTATAAATATATTTTTATTATTTTTTTTGTTTTCATTAATTTTATAAGATACATAACTTTTTGCATTTTACTCATATTTAAATATAATTTAATTTTATAATTCTTTCTAAAAATTAAATCTTACTATTTTTATTATATTTTATCTTTATATAATCTATAATTTTTATCTAAAATAATTTTTTATCAATATAATAAATATTTACTAAATTTATTAATTATATTGCTTGCATCTTTTTTTAATTTATTTTAAACAACTTATCCAACTAATTCCACAGTTTAGTTATTATCTTATTTTTTTTGATTAATTAGAAACATTATAATAATAAAT